TTTTTTTTTTTTGATTCACAGGATCACCCTTCAGTTCCACAGTTTGCAGCCTCACCAAGTTGGAAAGAAAGGAACAGTGATGAGCTTCCTGTAAAGCTGTCTGTAATTATGTGAGAGAAATAAAAAACAAAGTTTCAAGCAGTTGATGAGTTTTACTGAAGCTGCTGTCTCAACTTATTTTTTTCTTTATATGACTGCATTTGTTCTCTTGAGTTAAACAAACCGAGGAAAAAAAGTAAAAACTGCTGCAGTAGGTTGAACGATCTGTTCATTCATTGTGTCCACAGATAGAAACAAGGGGCATACTATTGTATCGGTTCAATGTGGACAACAGTTTTATTTGAAAAACATTTTTCATCATTCGTTTTCTGTTGGTGTTAGCCAATTGAAGGGAAAAAAAACCAACTAAATTTGGTAAACCCATTGTGGCCGCAGCGTAGCCCAGACCAGGGATCGGCAACCCAAAATGTTGAAAGAGCCATATAGGACAAAAAAAAAAAAACAAATGTCTGGAGCCGCAAAAAAATAAAAGCATTCTATAAAATTTACAATGAAGGAAACACATGCTCTATGTATGTAGGAGACTGGACTGTCTCCGAATTGTTTATGTTGTTCATTCCTTTGTTGTGTATTCACAAACGCCCCCATAGAATTTATTTTGTGATTTCCTCGCTTGATATTTTTTGTTTTGGGGCATTATTTTCACTTTTCTTAGTGTCAGTGACGTAATCATTAATTTCCGTTTTTTCGGAGGCTGTCTTTGAACGCCTCTCGAGTCTATTTCAGCTATATTAGCCTACTATCAAAATCTTTTTTCCATTTTCAAACATGTTTTATAAAGCTCCAGGGAGCCACTAGATGTCTCTCAAGAGCCGCACTCGGCTCTGGAGCCGTGTGTTGCCGACCCCCGTCCTAGGTCCAAGGATCGAGCATCCTTCCGGCATTTAATCCTTTGCTCCCCTCCGGCAGGTGATCGGCCTCTCGCAGGGCAGCCAAACGACCGTGGCGGCCGCCCGGGTGGCCCGTCCCAACGTCACCGCCTTCGCCTACTTCAGCAGCGCCGTCAACCCGATTCTGTACGTCTTCGCCGGCAGCTCCCACATCCGCCAGGCCGGCCTCAGCTTCATGGGCAAGCTCTTTGAGGCCACCAACTCGGAGAGCAGGAGCACATCCACCTTCGGCCGCAGCGGACGCACCAGCTCGTCGCGGGACGATGCCTCCGTGCTGCAGACGCTGTCGGTCAAACTGGGGAAGCCGTTCAGAGGCAGGCAGGGAGACAACAACAGCGTGGCCACAAGAGAGACGGACGAACCAGAACTCAAGACTCTGGCAAGTGTTGAGCCGTTAGAATAGCGCATGTGATCCATACTATGATCACTTTCCTTTCCGATTTGACAGACTGTCCTCTTGGTTTTCCTTTCATTGTTAATATACATAAAATTGCACCCACTTCCAACTTTCACCAGAACTTACGGTGCCTTGACAAAGCTCATGTTGCTTCATTTTAAATGACAATGTGAGAGAGGTATTCATTTAAAATTATGTTTATTACTGTTATATCGGTTGTACAGTTGTGGTAGTAATGTACAACTGTATGGCAGAACAGAGAGCCGCTCCAAACCGTAAATTGCGCGATCAAGATCTGTGGCGACAAACAGAAGATTGCATCTGTGGAAACACACTTCCTGTCTGTTTCATCACACGTTGTTTACCAAATCTCGCATGATAGCTTAGGACCAAGTCGGAGGTCGTTTGAGTCATTTTGACATTTAGCAGAAGCTTTGCATGAGAAAACTGATGTTTGGAGAGCGGCAAAAGTACCAAATAAAGTGCTTGCTGGAAAGTGATATGCAACTCTCGACTGTGAATGTGGCGAATGCGAATACATGATTGCTCCAACTTGGTGTGAAAGTGAATCTGAGTGACGGCCACGCTTAGAATAGCATCTTGTTGACGTCCAGCGGGAGTGTGAGCGGACAGCTTTTAGTCTCACAAATAGAGAGAAGAGTGCACGAGGCACACTTTATCTTATTTGATTTTTTTTTTTTAACCTTGCTTGGTTGAAATTCACATGGAGGCGAGCGGGAGTGGCCTGCCAGCGGAATGGGATGAGCAGTGGCGCAGCGAGAAGGAAAGGAGGAAACGAGTACTAGGAGAAGGAAGGGAAGGCGTTGAACAGGACAAGCGTGAGCTCCGAAAAATTGTGGCCTTCAATGACTCGAGATTAGGGCTGACAAGCGAGAGGGCGGAACCATGCGGATCCAAGCTCGAGGAGGACGGAGGGCGCGTCGATGATGTCCGACGCTATCCGAGCGAAAGCTTTCCTGGTGAGATGTTCAAGGTCCTGAAGGAGTTGCTTGAATCGGGTCTCCTCACGGATCTGACGTTGACCACAGAGGATGGGAGCAGCTTCCGCGTTCACTCTTCCATCCTTGCTGCTGTCAGCTCTTTCATTGAGGCGAGGGTCAGGGTAGAAACTCAAACGTGCGAGGTGGCCGCCCACCAGTGGTGTCTGTTTCTAGCTCCAGATGTGGATCATTGTGGGCTACAGGCAGTCGTGGAGTTTGCCTACACCGGGAAGCTTATAGCAACGGGCGACACCCTACCCCAAATTGAGGCAGCGGCTCGCGCGCTCGGAGTTCCGAGATTGTTGGACCTCTGCGACCAAACCGTTGGAGCCAAGGCAGATCTGAGAAAGGAGAAAGCGATCTCTGCTGAAGAGGAAATGAGACGAACCCTTCGTTCCATCGAGCAGCTCTGGGCAGACGGTGTGGGCTGTGACGTCATTTTGGATGTGAACGGAGCTTTGTTCCATGGTTTGTATAATCAGGCTTCTTCTGAAGTGTTGATATTTTGGTTGCGGCTTCCGCTCGGACTTGAACAACCTCGTCTGTCAGTCCATAGGGTGATCCTGGCGGCGAGCAGCGACTACTTCCGAGGCATGTTCACCAGCGGGATGAGGGAGTCTCGTCAAGCTCGCGTTGTCCTTCCTTTAAAAGTCATTCCAGAGATGGCTGCTTTGATTGCCTTCGCCTACCGCGCGTCGCTTCCTGTCAACTGGGACTGCGTCTTTGAGCTCGCCTGCACGGCGCTCCAGTTCCAGTTCCGGTCAGCCGTCTCGCTTTGCCTCCTCTTCATGAAACAGGAAATGGGGGCGGGTTCCTGCCTGGACGTGGCTTCTTTTGCTGAGGCTTATGGGATGTCAGAGCTCCTTGAGGAAGCCAATGATTACGTGCTGAGAAACTTCTTGGAAGTGTCTGCGACTGAGAAGTTTCTGGACCTCCAAGCTGAGAAGCTTCTGGACTTCCTCTGCAGCGATGGTCTCAGCGTGCCATCTGAGCTTGTTGTGTTTCGAGCTTTAGTCTCCTGGCTGGAGGTGGATTCTGAGGAGCGACTGGGGCATGCCTTTAAACTGATGAGAGGAGTTCGCTTTCCACTCATGACCTTTCGAGAGTTCAGGGAGGTGAGTGACTGTCTTCAAGAAAGCATGTTGATGGATTGATTCAAATGGAGTCACACTCACATGACTCACTCCTTCTTCCACTTTGTGGTCTTTGGTCTAGGTCAGGGCCATAAACCTACGCTTAGAAACCAAAGATGTGCAACTTCATGGTGCTGCTTTTAAGGAGTTCGGATCTACCCTCTCAGAGCAGGATCACTGTCGGGTGAGGCGCCCCAAAGACTCCCTACTTCTTGTTGGTGGGGACCAGCTGGACCAGGATGTGGGTCAACGCGTACCAAGCGGCGAAATTTGGTTTGTAAACTCCTTACGCTCCGGCACAGGCCTGGTGAAGGACATCGAGTGGAGGAAGCTGGCCCAGATTCCAGATAGGCCAAAGTTCAGACACGGCGTCGCAACCCTCGGGGGCCGGTTGTTTGTGATCGGCGGATGTCACTTCTATGCCAAGGACGACGTCATGAAATCGACCTACAGGTGAAGGCGGTCGATGGGCGGCTTTTTAGCGCTTCCACGGTGGTGCGTGGTCACTCACGTCTATCTCTTTTTATCATACTAGCTATGAACCCAAGCAAGACCTCTGGAAGAGGTGCGCCGACATGCAGGAATGTCGAAGTAACTTCTCAGTGGTGGTCCACCAAGGTCAGCTTTGTGCCATCGGTGGAGATAAGCAGCTCAACACTAATTTAAACAGCGTGGAGATGTACAACACGGAGGCCGATACCTGGAGGTGCGCTTGAGCGGGAAGCTTATCGCTAGCTTGTAACATTAGCTCGATTTATTTTCCCCTCTCGTGCTGTTCTTGGATTCTTTCAGCTTCGTCCGCCCTCTGAACCATCCACTCAGCGGCCAAGCTGCCACAGTCCTCGATGGAAGGGTGTTTGTCTCCGGAGGTTTTGACCCCCAGTATGTTTGCCTTGCTTCCTTGTTCGTGTATGACCCCGAGGCAGGAAGCGTCCACATGGCAAAAATGACTCAAGACCGAGCCCAGCACTGCATGGAGGCACTTCGAGGTTGCCTTTATGTGGCCGGCGGCGTGTGCAACCTCAGGACGTATTACACGGACCAGCTCACCTGTGAGGTTTACAATCCCGCCGCTGATTGTTGGACGACCCTTGCGCCCCTGCCCGTACCTCATGTGGGCGCAGCCTCGGCCATCTTGGAAGAGAATATCTATCTCCTGGGAGGGTACTGCCAGGAAGACTACAGCGAATCTGGACTGGTCCACAGGTTTAACCAGATCACGCAGCGCTGGGAGAGAATGGGAAAAGTCCCAGCAGCCGTGACTGACATTCGAGCCTGTGTGCTACAACTACCCCAGCACTTGAGATGGTAGCTTGAAGGACTGAAATGTCACTTCTGGATTGTCTTTCTTCCCACCGCACTGATAAAACAATTACAAAATAAAATCCATTGAAGCTTGCAAAGCAGGCTCAGTGAACAGAACGAAACCACGGCGACATAAAGAAAACACAGACTTTCATATGAATAGAGGAACAATTGACCCTGCCCCCCTCTTCCCCACGGTTGAAGCCGGAGGACAGCCATTTTACGTTGCCAATGGTACTGACATGGGTTTTGCTTTCATTTCATTGTTGACGGTTGTGACAACATGATGCAGACAAATCTTTGAGTAGCACCTGGAAGATATACCTTATAAGAGAATATTTATAATAGATTCTTATCGATGAAATGTGCATGCAGCGCCTCTCCTGGACTTAAGTGGTATTTCTGCCATAGAGACAAAAAAAAACCCCAAAAAACAAGTGAAAATGCTGCGGAGAAATCAATGCCTTCATTCAAGTTAGGCGCGCTTAGTCAGAGGCAATATCAGATGGCCACTTTTCACTTTTCTCTACTGCGACTAAGTAGCATTATGAACACTTTCATGCACCTTGTAACCATGATAAGCGTTCTACTGGAGTGATCGCTGTCCCTGAAGGGCTTAATCATATACTGTATAGTAGATTGAAGTCGGAGAACCTGCTGAACAAAGTGAACCGTCTCGGGTAACAGGACAAAGGCGCACGAGTTTTATATGTTTCTTCCTGTACATTGTGTTCATCATTTTATTTTAGAAAGACACAAAGAGACAAAAAGGAACTCGATCTGCTGATACTGGCCAGCGGTGAGACCATAGTATCACCATGTGTTTTGTTATTCTTCCTTCCACCAGGTGCACCCTGCTTCGTCATCATCACTCGACTCTTCCTCCTCCTCCTCCTCATCCTGATCCACTTCTTCCTCATGGCTTTTCCGTAACACGGTGGCCATCGTCTCATCTGCCCCAACTTCTTCTCCCTTTCTGAAAGCGCCCAATGTTTCATTTTGCCACTTTCTGCCATCTTGCGGTCGTCTGAAAACATGCTCCTCGTGGCATACACGTTTCTTGTCATCTTCTCCCGTCCTTCCCGAGCTTCTCCGCTCCAGCTCCTTTTGACTTTTCCCATTCTGCAGTGGACGGTCGCCTTTTCCCAGGTTCTCGTGGACAGGAAGCCGTTCATCCTCCGTCGCCTCAACTTCCTCCCTCATTTCTTTGTCATCCTCATTTTCTCCTCCTGCCTCCTTTTCCTCCTCATTTTCATCAACAATCTCCCTGCTAGCTCCCATCACTTCATTGACTTTCACCTCCTCCTTCTCCTCCATGTCCTCCACCTCCTTGTTTTCAGCTCCCATCTCTTCATCCTTCGCAGCCCGTTTCTCTTCATCCACCCAATTATTGTCCACCTCGTCATGCTTCGCTTGCACTCCAGTGTCCTCCTCGATCACGTCCACCCTCGCCCAGCGCCTCACCCTCTGCTCCACCTCCATTGCTCCCAATCCGGCCGCAGCTGTGGAATCGCCACCTCCATGGAGCTCAGTCAGACTCCAAACATCAACCTGTCGCAAAGTCTTCCCCAAATTTCTACCCCGTCCCGTTCTGGTTTCATTCGAGAGTCCACCGCCTCGCTCTCCTTGCTCTCCTCTCAAGTGCACGTCATCGTCTCAGTGAACAAACATGTTGCTATATTGAGGGCACGACTGTGCAACGGCAGCTAATTAGAACTCCGGCTTGTCTGAGGTGCTAATGTTACTCGTGGCACTTCACGTCGGAGCTTATTGCACTGCAGCTTTTATATCCAAACTCATTTGACCCACTTAAAGTGAGTCACTGAGACTTAGGGACATTTGGTTCCTAACCAAAATTCTCTCCCTTCTTGTTGGGCATGTTGATCCCCAACCATATGACTGCAGGATCTTTATTCATCGTGCAGAGGGGGGGCCAAGGTGGGGTTCACATTGCTCCTGTGCATTCAAACACTGCGGAATCTAGGTCAAGGATCGAGAGGCGCGTGGAAGCCCCGCAAGGCCAGGCAACACATTTACACCTGTTGTTGTGGTGTGTATGCTTTAATAGGAAGCTAACAGCTGGCTAGCTCAGGCATTTTACGTACGGATGCTAATAGCTCACCAGAAGCTCGTAAATTCATTTTGTGCTCACGTGAATGTGGTCCGGTCCATTTCTTGTCAATGAGTTGAGAGCCCATACGACAATCTGCTCACAGCACCTTCACGGGGCTTTAAGTTCCCGTTTGGGCTCCACAATAACAAGATCGCAATACGGCAACTGTTGCTGCTGTGCACTTGGTTTGCCACTCAAAATTCTCAGTCCGTGTATACTGTATGTATTTTATATACGATTGCTGCAAAGACACACGCAGCGGAGTCTGAAATGTAACCGAGTCAAGACGGCAGGGTTTGAAGGGGTTCATCACCGGGGAAGGTTGTTAACACCCTCGCAGCTCTGAAGGCCACATGTTTGTCAACTAGAAGACTGGCGGCGGTTCCGATCTGTCACTGTGACGCTCTGGAAATAGATTCACTGGTCACTTCATTAGGAATATAGACACTGTCTAATTTGATCTGATGCTCGGATAATTATGTTGATTGTTGTGAAGTCATTACCACGTGATGTCAAATTTTAAAAAAGTCATTTTATTGAAACTCTGTGGACCCGTCGAAACACTTAAAATGAGGATTAAAATCACAGTTTTCCCAACAACCGATTTTTTTTTTCAGCAGGCGTTATTAAATCGTTTCAAGCTACGAGTATACACGATGGGAGAAAAAAAAAGTTCTAAGATGGCGCGCATCTCCTGCTATTGCTTTTTAAATCGGGTCTGGTTGCGCTTCCTGAAGAGGATGATGGGTGGAGCTGAGATGGTGACAAGGACATCAAGGGGGCGTTTCTCAGCGCGGCGCCAAGTCACACAGTCGAAACCGAGGAGTTGCATAGTCGTCATTGTTGGGAGTGCGCATCTATTTTGAAGTCAAGGTGAGGCGGCTCTGATCAAAATCGTCAACCGGGACACATGAAGGTTCTGATGTTTGACTTGGACACGCACAAAAAAAAAAAAAAAAAAAAAGTTTCATGTTTGTGCTTGATCCCATCGGACTCTTCGCTCGGCTTGTCAGGTTCTGACCCACGGGAGCAGGAAGGACGCGATGGCGGCAGCGAGGGCGAGCAAGAGGACAACTAGCGGGGGCGCAAGGGGCGGCGCCCACCCGCACGTGTGAGCTTCCGGGCCCGCTTCCGTCTGCGTGTCCGCACCGTTTCTGGAGATGACGAGCGGCCTCACCTGAGAGATGCTCTCCTGCGCAGACGTCACAAGAAGTGAGGATTGCAGCCATTGTGATGGAACACTTTCGAGCTTCAGTTTATTTTTAAAAGTATTACTTTGACGCCATCTTGTGGCATCCTGCTGCTGGGGAACTACTTTGTGTTCAAGTGACTGGACATGCTTCGTTTAGACCAGGGGTGTCCCATCAAGCATTTTATAGACGTCTCCCTCCTCTAACCCACCTGATTCAAATGATCAGGATTGTTATCAATTTTCTCAGAGCTTGCTGATGAACTGATAATTTGAATCAGATCTGCCAGAGGGGGGAGAAGTGTATGTAATATGCTGGATGGGGTCCCTCAAGGACCAGGGTTGGGCACCCCTGATTTCGACAAAGGTAGGCTTTTTGCCACCACCTTGTGGCGTCTCGTGTTGACGAGCTATGTCGAGGTAAGTTGAGGACTTTCATGCTGCTATCGTGTGGCATTTTAGCATCAAGGAACTGTGTTGAAGTGAGTTGGGGAGTTTCCATTTGACGAAAAATCATTCTTTGCCACCCTCTTGTCATCTTGGTGTCAAGGAATTATGTAGGAGTGAGTTGAGGGCTTTCATTTGGAGGAAAAATAGTCATTATCTGGTAGCATGTTAGCGTCAATGTTGAAATAGATGGAGTTTCATTTACACAAAAATGTCAAAATAAACTTTTTTAGGGTGCGATGTCAGTTACTGCGGGATTTTCTCTATTTGCGGCAGGAACTCAATGCAATATAGGCTGAATCTGCAATCCGACCTCTTTGGAAAGGCAATAAATTGTTCAAGCTGTTTGGCTGTAAATGACTTGTCTCGGGTATTCTCTGTCACAAGTCTCAATTCCAGGTCCAGAAAGAAAAAACCTTGCCACAGTTTGGCTTTCGCCACAGGTGCTTCTGTCAGATGGGTAGAAGTCAAACGATAGCAAGGTTTTTCCTTTCTGGACCTGGATTTGCCCTCTATGTTCACTGTATTAACAGTGAGTCATTTCAACCAAATTATCCATGTAAGACTTACTTCAAGGATGGTCCGGCTGCGCATCCTGTCCGGACTGAGCCGCAGGTTCCACCGATGTGAAGTGTGAGAGAGGCCGCCATCGTCTTCGCTCTCCGTGGTATCCTGCCGAGCCAGACGCTGCCGTTTGCGGCGCCGTGAGCTGATTCGCTGGAGCGAGCCGGGCTCTTGGAGCCTAGAGGTAAGATGTTATCGGAAAGCAGTCAGGTCACAGCTGGCAATCTCTGGTGGAGCCGACGGGTGTGAGCGGCACCACCTGCAGTCGGCGTCCTCGATGTCAGCGTCTGCGTCGCTTTCTCCCTGAGGGTCGGACAGCACGCACTCCTCCTGTGTATGTGGGGAAGTTAACGTTAACTTTGGCGCTACTACAGGGAAACTACGAGATCTGATTCACAACGATATCAAATCAAGTGTTTTGTGCTTTTGATGTGTTTCGAGGGTACCTCGGTTCCGTATCCCTCGGAATAACGGGTCATGGTGACTTGAGCTGAGTTCACCTGGTCCTGCCAAACACACAAGGAAAAAATATAGGACATGCAAAAATGTTTAATTCTAATAGTCAATAATCTTATAGTTTATATACCATGTGACCTCCTAAATTTAACGCGTGTCTTCAGGCTCTAAGGTCGTTAACCCAATAGCATAATTGCCTAAGTAATGGTGTGATCCGTGAGCCGTCTCTTGTGATATCCATAAGAATCACTGCATAAATACGATTCAGCTGTATTTAATAGTACTAATATTAATAGTGTTTTAAGTTAATAACATTTACATTGATTATCAAAGACCGGTTTAGGTTTAAACATTTAATTAAATACCATTTGGATTTCAAATATATGTACGGTACAGTTAATGTAGCTAATGTAGCTAATGTTCAAACGGTGCACAATGTTAAGAGTGGTTTACAATTCAAGCAAAAACACTTTTTCGTAGGAGACCTCGTGTCTCGATTTTTTTCTAATGTTGGTCCATTAAGGTGGTACTTGGAGAGAAAATATTTTTAGATGGTATGGTGTAAAAACGTTCGAGATCGACTGGCTCATTAAACTTACTGGCACAATATCACTTAAAAAATACCAGTGCGCTTGCTCAATAAAAAAAAACGAACACACAAACAAACTGAGAAGGTTACAACTGATGAACAGAAAGAAACTACTCGGTTCGGGGTAAATCGAGGCAACCACGAATTATTTGTGGTTGTTTTTTTTTTTCTTGTTTTCCGAAAACGTTCAAATATGAATTAGGCAGCAATGCGATTGGGGTAACGACATGTCTCCTCCTGTCGGTAACGTGTGTCCTGATGTCGTTTACGTGCCGCACTCGCGTTACGTAACAGGCAACTTTTCACATCAGGACCAGACGCCGAATGATGGCGCAAACGTTACAAAGTCCCATTTAGCACAAAACAGACCGCATTTCTCTACTTTCACACGAGCCGAAAATCCCGAAAGGGAATCATTTGACGCGGTCACAATTTAAATAAAAAATGTAGTCATGAATCTTACCTCGAAGACATGTGGAACACGGAATACGACTTAAACCCTAAATGGAGTCTGGTGCTTGGATTCTAAACGTACGCACGCGACGATGTTTGACATTGTCGCAAATCCCTCGTGACGTCACTCGTAGAGATGATTGACAGCTCAGGCCACGGGGATATCAGCGTGATACAGGGCGGAAGTGCGTAAGAGAATCAATGTATTTCAAAATAAACTGCATGGCGGACGCTCATGTCAGAAATGTATTTTATTAACGTGATGGAGTCCGTCGTTTAGATTCTAAACCTCATTGGCGAAGCGAAATCAATCTTTTCTAAAGTTTAGAAAAAGCAGACACGCCAAATTCAGAAACGTATGTCCGCTATGAAAAAGCTCCACGGGTTGTTTCATGTATTCAGTCAAGCTCTCAACATTCAGTAAACTTTGTACAACCGCTTAAAAGCACTTTGGTTAAAAAGGTCAAATAACTTTTAATTTGGACTGAATTTCTCTTGAGAGTTCCTAATAAAAGAAGGCAAAGTGTATGAAGGGAGGCTACATGACAGAAGGCGCAACGGTGGTGTCATATGGGGTGTATTGACGCGCATTGATTGCCAAACCCTTCAAATAAATTACTATGCTCTGAGAGCAGGAACAGTTGGATCAGTTGGGTTGGTGACAAGGAGTCATGTGACACAAACCTCATAGCTGAACCAAAATCGCTCGTGCCACATCAGCCTTATGCTTTCTAAACTTTTCTATTTCTAATTCTTTTTATTTTTGACGTTACAGGAAAAACCTGTTGCTGAACCTAACCCATAATTAATTAATATTACTGAAAATGTTACCGTATTGCATTATTATTATTATTATTAGTAGTAGTAGTAGTAGTAGTAATAATATCGACAAGTGCACCTCTTCAGCCTGACATTTACTCTCACGTCATCTCATGGGGGCACAGAGAACAGCAACATATTGGACACCAGCAGCTGTCAATCAAGTGACAAATAAAACAATCGTTCCTTGAGTTAGTACCTCAACTTTTTTCCCGATTACTATCTGTTACTTGATTTTGCATGTGTGCGTTATCGTGCTGCAAGCCAAAATATGACATTAGATTATGTTTTGATAAAATGCAGTCCTGTATTTCGTCCTTAAAAACAGAACAAAAAAATGTGCTGCTTTTGGCATTAAGAGTACATGATGCATAAAGAAATCCAATTGGTAAGTGCAAAATAGGGAATTTTTCCTTTTTTTTTGGAATGCAGTTGGTAGCACTAATCTCCAATGGTTGGTTCCATAAGGCAGCAGCTCGTCAGAGCGTTTTGTTGTGTCACTGCATGAATATTCATGAGTGCAGCTTCCATCTTTGGAAAGGAGGTTATTGGCAAGTGTAAATGATTCATGCGGCTCAGCAGGGCGGTGGGCGGAGGGGCTTGTGGGGGATTTTAAGTAACAGAATTGAAGGAGATAAATGCGACGTCACGGGCTCACGGGCGCTTAAAGTAGGTCAGCCGTCAAGTTGTGATGTCACACTGGAATCAGCCGGTGACCACGAACAGCCCCCTCCTATTTTTCTTCTCTCTTTCTTAGAAGGAAAAAAAAAAGATTGTCCAACGTCCTACGGCCTTTTTTATCTGAAGCTGTCTCTGCAATCAAGTTCCTTAGCTTCTGCTTACACCAGTCACATGGAGAGCTGCACTAAGTCTATAGACTTCATCATCTCTGAGAAGAACTCCTTTCTTGTCTATAGACCCGGCTCCCCCAATAAAAAAAAAAAAAACACCCCAAGACCCATAGCCCCCCCCCCGCCCCCTGCGTAGTGCTAAAAGAGGACGGTGATGCAAAGTTATGGTGAAGCTATTTTTGATTTCAGTTGCAGCATCAAACAATCCCACTGGGTCCTCAATGCGTGTAAGTGTTTGTGTGTGTGTGTGTGTGTGTGTGTGTGTGTGTGTGTGTGTGTGTGTGTGCGTGTGTGTGCGTGTGTGTGCGTGTGTGCGTGCGTGCGTGTGTGTGTGTATGGACAGGAGGGGGCGCGTATTTTTTTAATCCGAACCAGAGGTTTATTAGAGTAATGCCAACGCTGCATGGGAAGTGAGGCGAAACAAATGCACCCTCGCGGCTTATTGACCCATCAGGCGAAAAGACTCATGTGAGTGTCTCCTGTCAACATATGCTAGCATCAATTAGTTTAGGGCCTTGTCTGATTATTGTGGCACTTGGCTCGTTGCCATGATAACATCAGTGGATTTTATTTCACCTTGCTAAAGTCCAATTAATCCTTGGCTGAAACCTTGCAAATGCGCAGACGCTGGAGATGGGAAGCGGCAGCAGCGTGGTTATATTGTCGTTTGACGCCTGATAAAGCAAATGTCAACTTTCTGAACTAAACCCACCATTTTTTGTTTCACTTCAGAAGAAATTGTGCCACTCCTTCTTGGTGTGTGCACCTTGGCCACCTGGGGGCAGTATACAACAGATATAGAGACCCCCCCCAAAGAAGAGTTTCACAACTGACTCAGTACAGTGCAGGCTAATATTATCATCATGATTATTATTATTTACAAAAGGTAAAGAATATAAACATAGAGGCTAACTAGGTACCACTAAGACACAATGTTTGACACTGTGTGCTGATCCCATGTGTTTACACAAGGTCAACTCTCAGGCACACGCGTGAATGGTGTGCGACACACTCGAGGTGTGTCGTGTTGGGTTGTGTGTGGGTTACGTCACTCGAGGACTCGTTAATCTGTCCGAGCGGGACAGCTGGCAGCTTGCGTCCAGCAATGTCCAACACGGTTGACATGTGTACATGCTTATGTTATATTATGGATTTATTTACGCACACAGATTTCATTTGGTTTCAGAGTGGAAGCTGGGGTTAATGTGTATATATATATATATATATATATA